TGGAATGGTTTTTTCAAGTCACAGTTGTAGCACTAGCTAGGTGACAATACTTTGCAGAGCTGGGGCAAAGTTTTCTAGAAGGCTGTATATGCTCTGAATCAGCATCCAATACATGGTACTGTTTCTCTTACAGAGAGAATTCACAGGTACAGGAATCATGGCACCACTCACCATCACTCCCAGTGACCCACTAGCAAAATTTTTGCTTCCTGTTCCCATAACTTTATATTCTGCTGGCCTAGAGATCTTAATTCCAGGGAGAGAAATTCTTCTACCAGGAGACACAACAATGATCCCATTGAACTGGAAATTAAGAACTGCCATCTTGCCACTTTGGACTCCTCATGCCTCTGAATCAATAGGCTAAGAAAGGAGTTTTGATGTTGACTGGGGTGATTGATATGGGCGACCTAGGAGAAGTTGGACTACTCCAAATGGAGGTAGAGAAGAGTATGTCTGGAATATAGGAGATCCCTTAGGGTGTCTCTTAGAATTACCTTGTCCTTTACCATCATTTTTTCTTTCCTTTCTTATTCCTTAATCATGTAACATAAGGTTAACTTTATGTCAGTATTTAAGTATTGTTAATTGAACATCATGGTATTTAAGTTATGGGAAGTTATTAGAAAAAGAATAAAGATCTTAGATCACCCAAGAATGTTACTACTTCTTTTGGGGATGGGATTAGTGCATTTTTGTTTGTATGCAGGATAGTTGTATCATGTTAGGTGGAATTATGCCCTCATTATTGCCTTTATCTAGAGATTAAGTTAGTCTAAGGAAATGCATTTGAGTGCCAGGTTGACAAGGGTGGACTTGTGATGGTTGATATTAGATGTCAATTTGTCAGGATTGAGGGAAACCTAGAAGGCCGGAGAAACATTGTTTCTGGATGTGTCTGTGAGTGTTGCCAGAGGAGACGGACATGCGAATCAGTGGACTGAGAGAGGAAGACCCGAACTCTGTGTGGTCAGGCACCATCCAATCACCTGGGCATCTAGCCAGGACAAAGCAGGTGGAAGAAGGGGTATCCTCAGCCTGACTTTGCTTCCCCTCTCACGCTTCTGGAGCAGGACACCTTTTTCTCCTCCTACCCTTGGACATCAGTTCTTTGGCTTTGAACTCTGGGACTTGGAGCAGTGGCCTCCTGAGAGCTGTTAGGCCTTCAGCCTTAGACTGGGGCTGCACTGATGGCTTTCCCAGTTCTGAGGCTTTTGGGCTTGGTCTGAGCCCTAGTACCAGCTTCTCTGGTTTTCCACTTGCAGATGGCCTGTTGTGGGACTTTGCCATTTTTATCATGTGAGCCAGTTTACCCCTAATGAATCCCCTTTCATATATATATCCTATTGATTCTGTCTCTCTGGAGAACCCTAATGCACATATGGTGTTTTTTTTTTTTTTTAAATAAGCATACACACATTTATTTTCTCTACTCTCACATACGAAATGTAGTGTACTTTTGTATTATTCTACACCCTGCTTTTTTTTTCCACTTAATTGTACATTTTGAAGATCTTTCCATGTCAGAACACAAGCTTTCCTCATTCGTATTTTTTATTTATGTTTTGAGACAGGATGTCACTCTGTTGCCCAGGCTAGAATGCAGTGACATTGTCACAGCTTGCTGCATCCTTAAAACTCAAGTGATCGTCCTGCCTCAGCCTGCCAACATGCTGGGATTACAGGCATGAGCCTCTAGGCCTGATCTTCTCATTCGTTTTTATAGCTTGCATAGCTTTTTATCATGTGGATATACTATGGTTTATTCAACCAGATCTCTGTATCTGGACTAATGGATTTTCCCCATTCTTTTGCTATTATTAAATGCCAGATTACACATGTAGCGTTTTGTACTTGTGCAGGTATATCTGTAGAATAGATTTCTAGAAACAATATTGCTGGTTAAGAGAGTAAATATAGCTGAGACCTTAAAACAATATTACCAGATTTTACTTTTTAGGTACCATTTTAAATTTCTATAATTTCTATAACAAGGCCTGTTTCCCACATCCTCACCATAAAGGGTGTCCTCTTCTGAATTTATGCCCATATGTTAGGTGAGAAATAATATCTCAGTGTAGTTTTATTGTTCATTTCTATCATTACAAGTGAAATTTAGCAGCTTTTCATATATTTACAGGACGTATTTTTTTTTTTCTGTGAACAGTCTGTTCCTGTCATTGTCATTTTTTATGGTGACCTGTTTTTCTTCTCCATTCCTAGATGCTCTTCACATT